GCCGAAAACAGAGAGAATCCTGCGCGTAACAGAAAGGCATTGGAAACAGAGCCCTAACAACTAGCTATTTGGAAAGCAAAGCTGCTGCACTCAAGTCCGCTCAGACGAATTCCAAACAGTCCCAAATCCACTTGCGCCAGTCAAGCACAACAGACTAGACTGGGGATGTGCTGTGGATCTGTATTGTCAAAACAGCGATTTCTGGTCGTTCAGGCAATCGGTCGCCAGAGAGGTCTAGGGAAGGCAACGGAAAAGAAACCAAACCAACCACACAGGATCGGTCGTCAGAATCGGTCGCCAGAGAGGTCTAACGAAGGAAACGAAAACAAAGCAGGAAAACAAACCAAACCAATCACCCCGGATCGATCGCCAGGATCGGTCACTAGTGATCCTATAGTTCCTGGTCGCTGATCCGGGGGGGGTGTCGGTCGCTGATCCGGGAAAGTTGGTCGCTGATCCGAGAAAATTGGTCGCTGATCCGGGAAAAGTGGTCGCTGATCCAGCAGTCGCTGATCCTGGTCGCTGGTCCGGACCCTCAGTCGCTGATCGGACGTTTATCCGGGAAAACACAGGGTTGTGGGGATTTGGTTGATTGGTTTGTTGGTTGCTCGGTGGGCTACCAATGCAAAGCAAGTATCGACAGCATTTGGGGAAAACACAGTTTGGTTGCTACCCTTTCTTTTTTATCCCACTTCCTTTGGTTGGTGTGTTGGTTGGTTCGGCCTGCTTGGCTTGTTGGTTGCCTGGATTTGGGGAAAGCACATACAGTGATGAATGGATCATGGACAGGTAGAAAAATAGAACTTTTTGGTGGGTTTGTTGCTTGGTTTGCTTGCTGTTGATTGCTTGCGTGATACAGTGGATGGTTGGATGGATGGATGGATGCTGTGTAGATAAAGGCGGGACGGGGTGCGGGGGAGGGCGCAGCGCCTTCCCCGCAATGCAAACCAAGTACCGACAGCATTTGGGGAAAAACGGGGTTGCGTGGTTTGGGTTGCTTGGTTTGTTGGTTGCTTGCTTGTTTGATGGGTGGATGGATGGATGGTCTGTAGATAATGGCGGGCGGGGATGGATGCATAAATGGATGGAGTGTAAATAAAGGCGGGAGGGGGTGCGGGGGAGGGCGCAGCGCCTTCGCCGCAATGCGAACCAAGTATCGACAGCATGTGGGATCACACAGGGTTGTGTCGTTTTGGTTGCTTGGTTTGTTGGTTGCTTGGTGGGCTACCAATGCAAAGCAAGTATCGACAGCATTTGGGGGAAACGTTTGGTTGCTTGGTTTGTTTGCTGCTGGTGGGCTACCCACCCTTTCTGTTTAACTCTCCTTCCTTTGGTTGTTGTGTTGGTTGGTTCGGCCTGCTTGACTTGTCGGTTGCTTGGGTTTGGAGAAGACACATACAGTGATGTATGGATCATGGGCAGGGGGAAGAATGTTACTTTTTGGTGTGTTGGTTTGCTTGCCGTGATTGCTAGCGTGATACAGTGCTTGATGAATATGCAATTTTTCTGTTTGTGTGCTTGGTTGATGGATGGATGGATGGATGGATGGATGGATGGACGGACGGACGGACGGATGGATGGATGGATGCTGTGTAAGTCAAGGCGGGAGGGGGTGCGGGGGAGGGCGCAGCGCTACGGGATGGGTGGTCTTGGTTGCTTGGTTTGTTGGTTGCTTGGTGGGTTTGTTGGCTTGGCCGCGTTGTTGCTTGGTTGGTTGGTTGGTTGGTTGGTTGGCACTCCGTTGATGGATGCATGGATGGACGGATGGATGGATCCTGTGCTGCCTCACGTTCCGGAGGGGTCCGGGTCAGTTTCTGGCGGTTCCCGTCGTTCCGGACAGTCTCTACGCAGTTTCCGGAGGGTTTCGAAGGGCTAGTAACAAGAAGCTATTGGAGTGAAAACAAAGGGTTTGGCAGGTGCAGGGACAAGCGGTGTGAAACAAACCGGAGGTGACATCGTTCTCTGCGCAGGTTCCATGGGATACCTGCTTCACCGGCGGAGGGTTGAAAAGAAAGGGACGAGGGTGAAAAAGAAAGGGTGAAGGGTGAAAAAACCAGGTGAAGGGTGAAAGAAACATGCTACAGGGTGAAAATGACAGGGTGCAGGGTGAAAGTAAAAGGTTTTGGGAGGGTGGAAAAAAAGGTTCCAAAGGGTGGGAAAAAAAGGAATCTTGAGGGTGAAAAAAAAAGGTTTCGAGGGTGGGACTAAAAGGAAGGTGAAAAAAAACATTGTTCGAGGGTGAAAAAAAGGGAGCCCTTTTCTGAATTTTCAGCACAAGTAAATGATCTTCGTCGTACAGCGCCATGAAACCTTGTTCACCGGAAGTTTCATCGGTCACCCAGTAGCCTTCTTCGCCATCCATGGCGCCGTGTTCTTCGATGTAGTATGTGCGACGCCGTCGACCGCTAGGGCGGTGCTGAAGCTGTGGATCCCTAATGCTGGTTCTACTTACACCGAAAAGCTGTAGAAATTGTGTCTTGACTGCCTGATATCCGTAGTTTTCTATTGGGGTATTTTGCGCGTTCATGGCTGAAACTAGGCATTCTCGCTGTTTCTCATTGAGGTCTGCCTGCACAATGAATATCATGGCAACCAGGAAGTGGGAATGCTGCTTGATGTTGTTGTCGAAGTGCTTCTGTTCTCTCGTTCCAAATCTGCTGTACAACGTCTGGTCGATCTTCCGCATCTAATTGCTGCAATCTCTAGACGTCGTTGCGCAATCAAAGTGGTTTTCTAAATTCAACTGACGGTGGATCTGGGAGGTCTCGGTAGAGGTCCATCCATGCGTCTCATGGTGATTTCGAAAAGACCAATCCACGCCATTGTCGAAACAACTGGAGGAACCGACTCCGAAGCACATGTTTGTTATCCTTAATGCAGAAGGGACGCGTGTCCTCTTCAGATAGTCAACTCCATTATCTGCATCTGCAAGCAAACAGTTCTCTGTGCGCGGGTGCACCTACAAGACTGTTCTTCAGGCTAGGACCATGTTTGCGAGGTGTCAATGTAGTCAGGTTCAACCAATCATCAATCATCTTTTGAATCTTCATACTCAAGCCAGGATGTTAAACCATCGAAAGTTGGTGCAATCTTCGGAGTCATCCTAAGTTGAAAGGTCTCTACGATACCCTGCCGCTAGGGCGGCGTCTGAGTTTGCCGGCGCTTGCGCTTGGTAATATGTAGCGCTACCATCTGGATAATAGTCTGACTCGCGGCCTTCGTCTGAACTCTCACTATCGCTCATTGCGCGCTAGCTGTAGCGGGTCTACTCGAACCAAGGTGCGCCGAAGCACGCCCGTTAGTTCTGGTTTTCTGGAGCAACGAAGCTCCGCTACCACTTTGAGGTGGAATCCTCCGCAGCGGAGCGAATAACAGCAGTATCTACCTGGATCGGCTTACAGACTAGCAAGTCCCACAAGAGCATGCGAGCGAAGGCGAGCTAAGCGGCTTTTCTATCGCACAAAGTGTACCTTGAGCTAACATGCAGTGCGTAAGAGCATATATGAACATAGCCATAGTGAAGCAACAGCTAAACGGGGGCCCAAAACCAAAAACATGGGGAGGGGTGGGGCGAGGGGTAAGTTCCCCAAAGTGGCAGTGAAGCATATGCAATAACACTGGACCTGATCGAATACACCAAGTATGCCCGAATGCGGGGTCGTGAGCGAGTGTCAGCGAGCTCACTTTTCTATGGCGCAGTGCAGTGTATGCGAGGCCTTCAGTCTTGAGCCAAAAGTGAAGGAATGAATTAAGCTGAAAGCTGTACGGAGAGTAGTCTACAAACTTTGTACGGGCAACAGGCGCTACACTAGGATAGCGTAGACTCGGATGGCGCCTCACTTGCGCACACAAGATTTAACTCACCTGCGCGCACAGCCTTTTTCTATACATTTAACTCACCTGCACACACAGGGTTCACTCAGCTGCGCACACATCGATTACATTCTTCTTTAAACAGTGCATGTTACCTCCAACTCATCTGCACACACAGACTTCGCTCACCTGCGCACACACAAATTGAGTCATGATGATCTCTTTTTTCTCATTGCTCCCACAGTACCACGTCACACAAATGCTCTGCGTTTGATTGATGATATTGGGTTGGGATGGGGGGGGTGGGGGGGTGGGGGGGGGTGGGGTTAATAACGTCCCTCTGGACATTCATCCACTCATTCATTCATTCGTTCGTTCGTTCATTCATTCATTCAGCCGAGCAAGCGGCGTGCACAGCCGAGGAGCGCGTGCACAACCGAGTAAATCTATGCGCGTGTACAGGCGAGGAAAATTCCGCGTGCACAGCCGAGGCTCCGCCCCGCCTAGGGGACCTAGGGCACTACAAAACACAAACAGACACAAATTTTCTTCGTGTCGAAGCTTACTGCTGCAAAAGTGAAGGTTCCTTTGGTTCTGTACTGTGTGATGCGTTTGTTTTGTTGATTGTGTGTTTTTGGCTGCGTGTTTGTGGTTTGGTTGCGTGTTTGTGGTTGGGTGTTTGTGGTTGGGTTTTTGTGGTTTTGTGTTTGTCGTTGCGCTTTGTTGATTGTGTGTTGTGTGTTTGTGTTTGTGGCTGCGTTTGTGGTTGTGTTTGTGTGTTGTGCGGGCGCTTGCTGTTGAGGTCCGTCCGAGACTGCCCTCTGCAATCTGGAGCTTGCTCGGGAGTGCCCACTGTGATCAGACCTTTGCTGTTGAGGTCCGGGAGGAGGACGAGGAGGTGTTGCGATACCTCTCTTAAAAATCTAACAGCCCTCACCTGACAGGTGGGGAAAAACGGAAATGAAAAGGAAAGGAAAGGCACCTTTTGATGGCCTTTAAAAGGGCCTTACCTGCTCTCTCTCTCTCTCTCTCTCTCCCTCTCTCTTCCCTCTCTCTCTCCGTCTCTCTCCGTATAACCCTTATATACATACATATATGTATATATAGTTATATTTATATATATATTATAACCACGGGCTCAACACTAAAACACGCAAAAAATTGCAACTCCATTGCTGCCTGGCGGCGTGATCATATCCACTGTATAGTGGAAACGTGCAGCTGCCACCAGCACCACCTCCACTGTAACGCAAATAATGCACACTACACCAACCTCAGGCAAACACAATGCTCCAAACTTGCAAAACACAATAATGATTGGACCATGAGATCCTCACACAATTGAAACTGATCCTTGAAATAGGAGCCGTAGTGAAAGCAGTGGGTTTCCAAAAAGCAGCTGTCTGCAAACCGGGGCACCAATTTCTGTGCCTCATCTTTGGCTCTCACACTTGACAAAGCTTATACTATACACAAGTTTAAGCAATAAGTAGCTGCAATAGGAATAAAGCAGCATCGCCATCACGCAGCAGAGTCTCTTTAGAGGACAAATCTATGGCTCCTGTGAGCTTATAGGCAGCCAATGAAAATAATGCGGCAAAATACCTTGAACAACAGGCCGTGCAAACACGACTTGCTGGAAGTGCGTCTAATGCACAGAACAGCCCAGAAGCACTCGCGTAACCTGCCACACGTTTGAACAAGGCACGTGTGCCCCGATAGCATCATGTCCTTGGCTTGCCCAGCTGCACAACAAGGCGCCTTCAAACAGTCTGGAACTGTACATCAAGCCATTTCTTGCGTCACTTTCACTGCACAGCACCATGCATGCTCACTGAAACCACCGCACAAAAATGCCCCAAGATTCAGCACAATATCGGATTCGCTTGCCATTGACTCCAATGACTTCATCGATCAACGCCTAGCCACGGAAACACAGCTCACATCATCCGAACAAACGGCAAACAAACCAAGTTCACCAACCTGCTCAAATGTTGCACATGCTCCGATGCACTGCACACACACACTCTGACATTGGTTTTCAGTTACACTCAGTTCCCATTCCCAAGCTGAGAAGGAAGGTGAGAGAACGGAAAGGTGGCAGAGTCCGCGGAAAAGTATTGTTTAACATTGTTCACCAGTGCACTTTAGTTAACTACGATTACTGCAATTTAGACCTTGACTGAAAAAGAAGTGCTGAGTCCGTCGAACAGTATTGTTGAAAAACGTCGAGTTAAACAATTGAAAGGCAGGTACGTCAGCGCTGGCCGGGCACTGATATCACATCCACTTGGTGCGGTCTTTGTTAGATGAGGCACACCAAGGGATCCTCATCCCCCTGCTTTAAATTAAATTGAACCCTTGGAAACAGGGTTTGGCACACACACGGTGCCGCTTCGCGGCGCGCATGTGAAAGACCTGAATAGTCACCTAAAAAGCCTTAGAAACAAAAGAAAAAGACAGAAAGAGCAGCGCTAAGAGGGCAAGAAAGAAAGGTAGGTGTAGAAAAGTGAATACTTAGCCCTTGACTGGGGTAGGGAAACGAGCCTCAAGAGCAACCTAAAAAGCCTGAGAGAAAGCCCAACAAACGACGAAAAGCGCAAGAAGGAAAGCGGGGGGGCAGGGAGGGGCTGTATGTCCATGTGTGTGTACATGTGTGTGTCTGAATACCTAGCACTCTAGAGTTACTGATTACTTAGCAGAGATGAATTAAGTGCGATAGCTAGAGAGCGGGACTTTAGTCTTAGACCGCCCGGGTAGGAAAGACTACAACAGGAACAACACAGGGAAAGGCACCGACACACAAGTGTGTCGAGTACCATTTCCCTATGTTGCCCTAATTAGGTGGGGAGTAGAACTCGGCTGGGGGGGGTTTGGGAAACCTGCCTGACTGCATGACTGCAAGGGGAGTACCGTTTTATAGCCCGGCGGCTGTGGTGGTTCACCGTTTTTTGGCCCGGCGGCCGTTGTGGCAGTTAATTCGTTGGACGTGGAGGTGAATTCCAGTGAAGTTCCGGTGAGCGGTAGTGAGTTCCGTTAAAGATTTCCCAAGGAAACAGCGCCCCAGTGACGGGGATCACACTCAGCACCCGAGTGGGACGGCTGAGCGAAACACACTCTGACATTGGTTTTCAGTTACACTCAGTTCGCAAGCTGAGAAGGAAGGTGAGAGAACGGAAAGGTGGCAGAGTCCGCGGAAAAGTATTGTTTAACATTGTTCACCAGTGCACTTTAGTTAACTACGATTAGTGCAATTTAGACCTTGACTGAAAAAGAAGTGCTGAGTCCGTCGAACAGTATTGTTGAAAAACGTCGAGTTAAACAATTGAAAGGCAGGTACGTCAGTGCTGGCCGGGCACTGATATCACATCCACTTGGCGCGGTCTGTGTTAGATGAGGCACACCAAGGGATCCTCATCCCCCTGCTTTAAATTAAATTGAACCCTTGGAAACAGGGTTTGGCGCACACACACACGAGTTAGTCTTCAATTTGCAAAGCCATGCCCCGAGAGATCTCCCTCTACATTGGAAAAATATACATATATTTAAATATATAAATATTTATTTATTTATATATATATATTTGTTTATTTAAGTCCGCATTGAAGCAACAACAACTCATTTTATTGCCACGGAGCTTCTAAGAGCTTTGGACACAGAACACCTCCTTAAGAAATTATCACGGCTAGCGCGGTTCTCCTGCTCCGTGCTGTGAAGGAGAGTTATCCTGACATCGTCCCTTTCTGTGGAAATTGGATCCGAACTGTTTTTTTCAGGCAATCGCAACGTTCATTCTCTTTGCTGTCCATCTTGCCAAGAGGCCAAGAGTGGCACAGCCTTTGATGCGCCTGTGGCGTGACACTCCGCAGGCCCTTGCAGAAGAGCCGCCAGTTGTGCTTTTCTCCGCCTGAGCTTCTCTGCACCAGCTTTCGCAAGACATCAATCCTGCCGTGTTTCTTGCAAGCACCTTCTTGAAGCTTGACCGCAGCTGGCTACTGATGAGCAAGGGAGTTGCCCCACAAGTGCAGCTTGTAGTCTTGTGAGCACTTGCAACCTAATCATGGTAGGTGCGTTTCTTCCTGAAGGGGTGGGCATTGGCGGATCCTTGGAGGAAGAGATGCTCAAGCTAGTGGAGGATACTCAGCATCAGCAGGCTGATCAGCCTGGCCATGTGCGGGTTTTGAAGGAGGGTTCCTTTGCCTGCAGCAAGCGTCGGGCCCGTTTGCCACGGAGGGGTGGAAAGCTGGCTTTGAAGGCCTTGAACGACAGTGTGTTACTATGGAGCGGTGCATGAAGGAGATTTGCGGATTGCAGTGCTTTGAAGATGGCAAACGACATCACTAATGCCAGCAGAATGTCTGAGGGCCAAAGGCCAGATGACTAGTAGCAAGGACGTTACTAGGGGTTCCTGGCTTTACTGATAGGAGCAAGAAGCTACTAGGAACAAAGGGCATCGCTACTAGTAGCTAGAAGCTACTAGGAACAAAGGCCACCCAGTGATTCGCCATAAGCCCTGTGGAGTAGACACCACCTGTTTTTGGCCCTGAGGGCCGCATGTTGAGACTCTTGCTGAAGACAAGCACCAAGCAAAAAAGAGAGACTGTCTCAAGTGCGCAGTTGTCTTGACCTCAAGGGCTATTGCGGATGTCAGGGGCTTGTTGGCTGCCTTGGCCTTGCACCTCAGCGGCCTGTTGAGACCTGTAACTTTTACAGAGAGGGTAGCCATGGGGGGTGGAGTGGTGTAGATTGTAGAAACGCTTTTTTTGCTTCTGAAACCAATAGACACACCAAGAAAAAAACAACAAGTTCAGACCACCAACAAGTGCCCAAAAACAAAAAACAAGATGGAGCCCACGAACCCGAATGCAAACACGTTCAAAAAGCTACATATGTCCAAATGACACTCTTGTAGGACACTCTTGTGGGACACTCTAGTAGGAAACTCTTGTGGGACACTCTTGTAGGACACTCTTGTGGGATACTCCTGTAGGACACTCTTGTGGGACACTCTTGTGGGACACTCTTGTGGGACACTGTTGTAGGAAGCTCTTGTGGGACACTCTTGTAGGACACTCTTGTGGGACACTGTTGCGGGACACTCTTGTGGGACACTCTTAAGGGACACTCTTGTGAGACACTCTTGCGGGACACTGTTGCGGGGCACTCTTGTGGGACACTCCTTTGGGACACTCATTTGGGACACTCTTGCGGGACACTCTTGTGGGACACTCTTGTGGGACACTCTTGTGGGACACTCTTGTGGGACACTCTGTGGGACACTCTTGGATACTCTTGTGGGACACACTCTTGTGGGACACTGTTGCGGGACACTCTTGTGGGACACTCTTAAGGGACACTCTTGTGAGACACTCTTGCGGGACACTGTTGCGGGACACTCTTGTGGGACACTCCTGTGGGACACTCATTTGGGACACTCTTGCGGGATACTTTTGTGGGACACTCTTGCAGGACACTCTTGTGGGACACTCTTGTGAGACACGGTTGCGGGACACTGTTGCGGGACACTCTTGTGGGACACTCTTGTGGGACACTCTAGTAGGAAACTCTCTGTGGGACACTCTTGTAGGACACTCTTGTAGGAAACTCCTGTAGGACACTCTCGTGGGACACTCTTGTGGGACAATTTTGTAGGAAACTCTTGTGGAATACTCTTGTAGGACACTCTTGTGGGACACTCTTGTGGGACACTCCTGTACAGCACACTCTTCGTACGAGACTTCCTCCAAAAGTCACGCTGCGAGGCTGCAAGACGAGCGTTTCGTACGAGACTTCCTCCAAAAGTCACGCATCAAGTCTCAAAAACGAGCGTTTCGTACGAGACTTCCTCCAAAATTCACACGTCAAGTCTCCAAAACGAGCGTTTCGTACGAGACTTCCTCCAAAAGTCACATGTCAAGTCCCCAAAACGAGCGTTTCGTACGAGACTTCCTCAAAAACTCACATGTCAAAGTCTGCAAAATGAACGGTTCGCGCGAGACTTCCTCCAAAAGTCCAGCGGAAACACCCATCGGAGCACACACATCACGCAGCCCTGCCAAGCAGTTTCGCGATTCCAGCCCCTCCAAACGACACCCGCTCACACGCCAATCCCAATGTGACAGCGACATTCACCTCTACCACAACTCACAACCTCCCGATTCCCTGCGCCTGCCACGAATCTTTCCGCGTCCACACGTCTAACGCGCACAAAGTACTGCGCCTGCCACGAAATGTCACCTCCGTCACACCTCGCAACCTCACGATTTCCTGCGCCTACCACAAGAATCGCACTTCCACACATCAAAAACCGCACAAAGTACTGCGCCTGCCACGAAAAGTGACATCATCTCATGTGAGCTTCAACAAAATTTGCGCCACACCACACGTTTGGAATGATTTCGACCCGTTCTGAGCATACTCCCATCCACCAAAATCGGCATTTCAGCTGAGACTTGTCACGAAAACAGAGCTTCGATGCCACACCCGGAAACGCAAATCCCAATGGCACGGCCACATCCAACACCCCAAAAACACGACTCTCCAAACGCTAATCCCAATGGAACTGCGCAGCAATCTGCAGATCTCACCAAACGCTGCGCCTGTGCAGCGAGACGCATCACGTTGCTTGCGCGACATGTCTTCTTCATGCAAATCTCAATGGAATAGCGGCGCAAACTGACACGTGACACATCCATGAATAGTCACTTGCAAAAGCTTCCCCCAATGGCAGCGCCTTAAAGCTCTACCGCGAACGGTTGCGGACGGTTGCGGACGTAGAAACAACGGATCGCGAACAAGGCTCTACCCCCAGACCCCCAAGAGTTAAACGAGAACCCTTCGCTACGCATTCGGGAAAAACAGACCTATGTCTCCTGTCCAGCCTCTCCTGGATCCCTCTCCATGGGTCTGAACTATTTTTGG